GTCAGACATTATGTAAATATATATATATGTCCCATGTGATATATTCCTTTACATCTGTACTGATTCCAATTTTCTTGCTTCCAATCATGAACATTCAACTAGTTACAAAACCTCTTCAGTTCATTCACACTTTTCTGTCTAAAAGGAATCAGTTCTATCAAATTTTGGCAAACATATAAATTAACACATTTCTACAAGCAGGGTGACAAGGTTCTTGGGAAAAGGCTGGGGAAATGGAGAAACGAAATATTCTTCACCCACCCATTCAAGCAGCAACAGAGCAGTGTGTTGAACAGGGCACAAGCTCAATCCCATTTGCTTCCAGGGGTGTCAGTCATGACTAGGCTTGTATAAAACCGGCATGTTTTTCCATTGATTTTTCATACACACAATGTGAAAAATATTTTGAAAGCCCTTAAATCTAGTATTTCCACGTAAAATTATGAAGAGGGTCATAAATTCTAACGATTTATGATTTGGGTAAATGTATGAGATACAAAAGAATGTAACTGTATACCTAAAAAAAAGGTACAAAGAGGCTAGAAATACATAAAAGTCATGCCTACTAAAAAGCAAGAGCTGACTCTCTCATCTCGTGATTTTTATCGCAATTACAATGAAAAACAAAATGTACAAGTGGTATTTACAGATAGACTAGGTCTAAATCCATCATACTCATGCCATGATTCCACAAAGATTAAAAAAAAACAAAACACAGACCATTTCACTCTGACAGTAATGTGGATACAAATAAGTCAACAAAATCTTCAGCTTCTTTTTCTGTTTGTTGTTGCTGTCATGCCGCAGAGAAAATCTCAATTCTTCTCAGCCACTCGCATAAAAAGACAAGAGAAAAATCCGGGAGTCGAGTCGACGACGAGAATGCAGTGGAGCCATAGCAACAAGGTGATAGACAGCAAGCTTCAAAAGTATCTCCATGCCAGCTGTGTGTCTTCCCATTCTCTCACATGTAAGGAGGAAAAACTGCCACTACCTCTTTCCTCCTCCCTCATCCAAACAGACAGACAGGCTACCACTTCCACGGTGGGAAACAAAGGCAAGCAACATAGCGTGTGTGTGTGTGTCTCTCTCTCTCTCTCTTTCTCTATCCCACTTCTCCTTCAACGATCTCTTCTTCCAGCCACTTTTTACCATTTAAGGCCTGGGAAAATAAATGTGTGCCACAATTAGATCGTGTGCCAGTGCTACACTAAAGTGGTGCTTTCATGGAGAAAAATGACTGTCACTATCCTAGCACTTTTCATTATAGCCATTTATATCCTGTTAGTATCTTTGAAAGTAAAAAGATTCTACGATACTACAAAACACACAACGCAGTATTAATTTGATTAAGGTAGTATCAAAAATAAAAAATAAACCGTAACTGAGAACTGCAACCAAAATTTGAACTTTCACCTGTGTTTGAACCACCAACCAAAATAAACAAAAACATTTTCATTGAATTAGTGCTATATATTATGGTATCTGTATACCAGAAGTGTTAAACAAACGCTTCTTTTCTTCCATAAAAGTAAGAAAAATGCTCATGATTAAGGCTGTATTTCAGTGGCGCCTGAACCAGCTTGTTGCGACAACTGTTTTTTGACAATAAATTAAGTTTTTTCCAAATGAACCAACAGTCAGGAAGGCCAGCAGAAACTGGGAATCCTACTCTAAAATAATTTTTCCCCCACCAATAAAACTTTGCAGTATAATCATCAAATAAAAAATAAATAATCTAGAAAATGCTAAATATTTGGGAAAAGCACAGGGGAACAATTGTAAAAAATATGTGAATGTTTCGTAAGTGTGAATGAGAAATTTTAATTCTCTCTTTTTAGTCATTGTGCAAAGATCAAAACATTGCCTTCAGACTACAGGTTAGGAGTGGGTTTGCTGGCTTTAACAAGCATTATCAAGAATTAATTTATCAAAGCTTTGAACATAAATCATTGATGGTTCAGAAGTCCTAAAAGGCAGGTATGCTTCAACATACTAATAGTAAAATAAAGCACCTGAAGCAAAAACATTAATGCTTTGGAGCCTTTGTTTGTTTCTGCAAGCATGTCCCCATAACTTTTATTTAGATAGCTTTCTGGTGCCTCTATTCAATGAGATGACTGTAAAAGCCCATTTTTTTTCTCTTCCGATATTCTAGACATTTGTAAATAAAAGCTGTAACTATTTTTGCAGGATAATGTATTATCCGAGAAAAACCCCCCCAAAACAACTATTAAACCATTTTGTGAGAAAAGAGGGGAACACTGCAGGTGAAAACAATGTATAGCAGACAAAGATGAGCTGATTAAAGGGAAAAAACATGGCACACTCACTATGCATGGCTCACATTTATTACTCCTGACCAAAGATTTGTATGAAACAACAAAGATAAACTTTCAAGTAAAAATAATATACACAGATATCAGGAGAATCAAAGCAGCATATCCGCCACATTTATCTTCTAACAAGGACCCATCAAGCACAAACCCTATTAATAAGCCTGGAAATATCTAAGAATAAGAATACACTAAATTTTCATGCAAAATCAAGAATAACTAATCACATTCACAGCTTTTTTAAACACCAAAAACATACTACATTATATTTCTATTTTTTAAAAACCCACACACACATTAAACAGCAATTATAATGCAAAATGTTTACCATCAGGGCAGAAAAAATAAAAGAAAGAGAAGAGTTTCATGACTGTGTACAAGACAAGGGTAGGACTGTATGAAAAGTATGCAAACAATACGAGCTTTCTTATTCTAACAGGCAAAAAAAGGATAACTCAATAGTACCGGACTATAGGACTGAGAAAGAAAATACAAGCAAAAAGGGTAAACAGGTTGACATTCAGAATCTGGTAAGATAATGATACAACCGCCCGCCCCCCTCCCCCCTTCCCTCCTGCACCCCATATGTAGCATTGTTTGGTTCAGTTGTCATAATAAAGGTGACTTACAGTTGGATAGAAGCAAGAAAGACAGGCAGAAATAACACAAGGAAAGAATAGACGTTACATCTACCAGTGGCACCCTCAAACCACCAACTGTATAGTATTGTAATCATTTCCTTACTAAGCAGCAAAGAAGCCAGACAAATCCCCCTCATGAAGCCCGACATATACACAGACAGGCAAGACAAATGCACAGACAGACAGAAATGATAGAAAGACAAAGACATTCAGACATCAGACCAATACAGGGCTAGAAAAATGGACAGATACACACATATACTTGAAATACGCAATCACGTCAAAACCTAGAAGGAAGTGGTGTCATGCCAGGAGGCTGGATATAAATGGTGGTGCTGAACTACCAGGAATACTTTTGTGACATAAAAATGTAACGCAGCTTCACTGACTTGCATTGTATCAAGATGCGATTCATTATATAAGAGCTCATTTACTGCTGAGGCTTCAGAGAGTTTGGAACCCAATTTTCCGAGCATAGTCTGTAAAGATTTCACTGATATTTGGCATCTGTATAGACATGAACCCCACTCACCTTCAATAACAAATTTACTGAAATTCAAACACTCCTAATAATGATTTTACATTTTTTCAAATCCATCCTACAATTCAAGATCTTTTAAAAATACAACAAATCTTTCTCAGTGAAATCCATACACTGTGTTGTAAGTTCACAGATTTCATTGACTTATTCCCACACACTATGCACAAACTAGAATAGTAGATTAATTAAAAATTAAGAGACATGCTGGCTGTCACAAAGTAAAAGAGGAGTCCACACGTGTAAAGCCTTGCAACATTTTACAGATTCAGCACTATTTTCTCTGTCAACAAAGTTTCTCATATCGGATGTGTCAAACTGCCACTGACACGATGTTCCAACTAAACACAATACCAGTCACAAGCAGGGGGAAGGAAGGAAACGAAAGCAAACTATTGTGCTGGAATAAAGCTAAAAGCAGTGCTAGCAGGGAAGAGGAAAAAATCACAGTCACAAACTATAAAATCATTACTATCACTTCACAAAATGTATATGCAAGTTCCTCAATGACTAGATCTGCAACTGCTTAATGTTGGTGCCACAAGCAATCCCTGTGACCGAAAATGTTCAAATGTTGTAGGAGACACATAATACATTTTAGCTTTAGCTTTAGAATAGTGACAGAAAAGCACTATAAACATGTTGATAGTGCTGTGGTGGACAGATGGGCTGAAAAGGATAAAGAATAAAGACGAAAGACTCAATCAGTTGAAACCATGCGACCAGTACAGTAGCAGTCGCAGGCTTGTTCTGCCATAAGAACAGTACAGAGGTGATGTATATACATTTACTTCGCAGAAAATTCGCAGTGCACCTCACAGAAAATACCCCAAATTATGGGACATAAACTTCAATCTTTTGGCGGGAAACTTGCTTTAGCGAAGAAGACTTCACACAAAGCATCGAAGAGTTCATGGACAGTTGAAGTGTGTTTTTTCTTTTCAGGAAAATTTGTTTTTCACATGAAACAATCACGACCCAAACCCAACAATCACGACCCAAACCCAACAATCACGACCCAAACCCAGTGGCTCCAGGACAAAAACGTTAGTGTACTTCAAAAAGGAATTCTGGCATATGATTAGGGTAGACAATTTTTATGTTTCTATACGTCAATACGATTACCTTGTTCTAGCATTCATCCTAAAGTGTCATTTGTGTAACACGTGTCACTGTTTGTGGCAAAAAGATCGGTTCAGGTCCAAATTTGAAATGAACCAGAAGCAAGGTGCAGTGCCCTTTAAAAAAAAAAAATGCGGATTGCAAGTAGGACCAACAATAAGCACCACTACTCATGTCCTGAACATGTCCAGAAAGCATTCATAACAACTAAATTCCATATTTACTTCAAAAGCAGAACATACTTTCCAAAATTACAAAGGAAAGGATCGGGAGACTCATACTACTACTTGCACTTTTACAGCTGTCTTTGGCAGTTGCCATAAAAGTGCCACTACATAGGACTTGAACACATACTGGGCTTACCTGTCTTCTTAAATGGAGCATTGCAGAAAGGATCAGAGGAGTCAGACCCAGACATGACCAGATCTTCACGGCTTTTCACGTTAGAAATACCTGTAGGAAGAATCATAAAGACAAGACTAGACTAATTTTTTTCCCTTCAAAGCATAGCACCCTACTAAACACTACAAAGGTCATTTCAGGGAGGCAGCACTTTATCCCTGTTTGGAGTTTTGAGTAAAGAGAAGCACATCGACACAGTAATAGTTATATAGTGCAGAGGAGAAGCAAGAGATATAGACAAAAATAACAGAGGAAAGAAAAGAAGTAGGATCTACTAGTGGTGCCCTCCAACCACCAGCACTTAGTGGGTGGTTGGCGGGTGCTCTGGTGTGGTTTTCTCTTTCTTTCCTATCAAACATCTATCGTCTTTATCTCCCCTCTTCCTTTTTTGTGTTTTTTACTCACTTGTAACACCTCTAATCTTTGGCACTTATATGACTTTATTGTGTTGCAAGTGCCGTAAAACACTTACTAAAACTAAAACTGACCAGCACTTAAACCCACTTAGGACACCAGGCTCAAAAGAAATATTCCATAGGCCCTCACTAACCGTGAACATGAACATTGCTGGTCAAGTTCGTAACCTAGTATGCTACAGGTTGGTAAAGACCAGTGCTTCTCACTAATATTTCTACACTAATCTCAAATTAAAATATTAAAATATCAATGAAACATATCTCCCCCCCCCCCCTCTCAACACTACCCATAATCACCAGAAACTTATGACACTGTCTAAGGGCTCAAGGACAAGCTACAGCTAATAATCAGATTCACATGGGTTGAGAAGAATATTAGTTCAGAAAACCCCCTCCAAACATTGACACAATCATGGTGAATTAAACAGACAAAATCGAGAAAGGGATCGTGCAGGAGCTACCAGATATAGGAATGGCATTGTTACAGCATCTTCATTGAGAATCCAAGCTTAAGGCATTTTACAATAAAAACGAATAGTTTGTATGATAAAAACTGGCAGAAGCATCTTTCTTTTTCTCTCTCTCTCATAAACATGCGTGTGTGCACACACACAAACACATGCACGCACGCACACACACACATTCTCTCTCTCTCTCTCTAGCGAGTCTGGCATAACGAACAAAGGTGAGGAATAGTCAGCTGGGGGTGCAACACAGAGACGTCTATTTCCTTGTTTATTTTAATTGACTTATGTGTAGTGCAATTTGTGAAAACTGGAAAAAGTGTGTAGCAGATCTTGAGAAAAAAAATGCAGATTTGAAGCGCAAAAATAAGAGGTCATGAAACGCTTTGTGAAAAAAACTTTCAGGGGGGGGTTCTATCAGAGATGATTAAATCCTGAGGATTGGTTTAAAAGTATGGATATTTGCTTACAATGTGTTTTACGATAAGCTCTCCATATATGTAATATGTTAAGTCAACCAGCAGATCTTTAAAGAAAAATCACTATGCTACTTACCTGAAGACTATAAATTTCCAGAGCCCACATGCAATGAGGACAAAAATGGATAAAGCCGTAGCAACTGAGAACATTAAAATATATGACATGATAGACAACAACAATACAGCTGTATACATACTTGTGTTAGAGCCTCGTCTGATTTTATCAAACTCTTCTCCAAACATCATATCATCTGTTTCAGCGCCAAAATTGTCATCTCCAAATGGATTCCACTCTGCCAGATCAGCTGAGACAGGCCTTGCAAATCTTTGAGAGCCCCTGTATGTGCACGAAATGGGAATGGAACCATTACAAACTGAAGCTGCAGTCAAGTTACAGAAGACCGTCATGTCCACTTTCTCCATAAACATATCACAACAGTTGTGAAAAGGCAAAAAACTAGAAGGAGCATACCACATCACAGAGCCCACCGAATATCTGATTGCAAAAAGAAAAAAACCCCCAGACTTTTCTATTAACCCTTCGAGTGGTAGATTATTTCTGAACTCCATGGTTTCTCAGCAGCAGATTATTTTTGCCTACACTAAACTGACAGAAGGTAATGCAAGAAAAATGGTCATAAAAACACACCCTACTGAAACTAGAAACATGTACCAAACATCAAAACAACCACAAATGATTGAAGAATAAGAATATATATATGTGTTGGACATAAATTTTCTACTCACATTTACTTCTGTGTTTGTTCATTTCATTTGTGAGCTTTTGTTAGAGTGTTCAGTTCAAAGTTTGTAAACACAGTTTGTGTGGTAAGCCGTGATACATTCAGGAAAATGATGCGTAAATGGTTTACAACTGAAACATTTGCTTCACCCTCTGTATCACCCTCATACAGACTGTCAAGAAGATTGCGTACGTTTTGATTTGACCGGTTCTCGAAACAAAGTTAGCTATACCAAAGAGTCTACATAACAAGAGGGGCCACTCCTCTCTTAAAGCCAATTAAAAAAATGTCCTCAAAATTCGGTGGCGCCCTTTTCGCAAATGCCCATCCTTTGCGAACAGAGTTACCCTACTTGTGTTAAAAAAATCAGAGTGAAACTAGCAAGTTTTATAATAAATTTCGAAAGAACGCTTCTTTAAAATGGTTACGCTGACAAAAAACCTTTTCCGGAGGAAGGGGTGATTGTTTTCTTCGTTTAATTTGACTTTAGAATGAAAGGCGAGAGGTCATTAAAATTTTTAAAACATTAAAACTCCGCACTGAACGAACCTGAACTGCTGATGAACAGCAGTCGATCTGTGCACGCAAGGAGGTGCTATTCCTATTCTTCTTCTGGAAAAACGAAAGAGAGTTTCAAAACAGACTGCAGCGCCATCTGAAGCAAAGAGCAGACTTCCGGTGGACACTTTTTTGGCTGAGTGGACCATATTGTTACGTACTATCTTTGGTTATACCAAGAGCTATCCTTTGGATGGTGCGCAGCTAATGTAAACAGAGTCAGTATTACTGAGTCAATAGCAGAGATGCCAACCACAGAAAACCGAAATGAGTATTGGGAAATAAGAAAATGTGTATTTTCAGGGGAAAATGTGTATTTTCCACGACCGACCAACTAGTAATAGCAAAAATTACTAGCTCACCAGCTCGAAAAAGGGAGCACACACGCGTACAATATACATGTATCCAGTCAACAACATGTCAGTGTTCAATGTCGTACAGGGGTCTTGTTTGACTTAAGTATTTCAATCTATTATATATTTTCCTCTCATTATTATATAAAAAATAAATCCTGCTTTGAGAGTGAAGGGCCTAGAACAAGAATTTCGACTATCAAGAACCAGTCTGGGTGTCATGATTCATATTATGAACTGACAGACTCAAATTATTGCTCAAACTCAGAGAAGAGAAATAACTTGAAAGGCTCAAGTAGACCCGTGCACTGTGAGAGTTGTAACAACCGTGGGAGGGCAAGATGCAGTGACACTGAAAATCTTCCAGTCCTGAACAGAAAGCTACAACATACAAACATACACCGTAGGTATAATTTACTATCACCCATCCAAGTAGATGTAGGTATAATTTACTATCACCCATCCAAGTAGGTATAATTACTTTCACCCATCCAATGAAACGCGAACACTTTATTTCAATAACACAGACTTACTTTATTTCAATAACACAGACTTGCAAAGTATGAGGGGTCCCGATTCCGCACACAGCCTGCACCAACGCGCGCTTAGCAGAAAGCTCTAATAAAAATTCTGAAATGCGCTTCCAAGTTTTTGTCCTCTGGTGTTGCCTTAACCCCCCCCGATAGTATCTTAAACCCCAAAAAATAAATAATCTCCTCCCCTATTCCGTAGTCATATTCTTTGCAACGCCGTTCCTCCCACCAAAGATGGTCTTTACTCACACGATGCCGTATTTATTTATGACGCGAATGCGCGCAGGTTCAGTGACCGGTCACGATGGCGAGCCAGACAATCTAAAAATCGGACGACGCTCGTATTTTCTTTTCTTTTCTTTTTTTTCACAAGCGACAGCCAAAGCGACGAGTCCGAGTGTTTATTACATTTTATTTGCACGGCGACATTGCGTTTATACTGCACAACCTGCATGCCAAAAATGTTGCGTTATCAGACAACTGCTGGCAAACTTCTTGGTGGTAGCGAAAGCGAAAGTAGATCTTGATTTTCCTGATCGAGCCTCGGTGTCACATACGCTTCCGCCTGCCGCCATAGCTGCCTTTTCGCGTGAAAGTGAAACGTACTCTCCGGACGCGGAAAAGCTGAACGAATATATAATATCACGATCGCGACCGGCAAAAATGAACTTACTGGCCTTATCGGACTTGGTTTTCATATACAGTATTCCAGTTCTGCGATACTGATACTAAGCCTTTTGAAAGATGGGACTTGAGATAATTAGGTTTACTCGCCCAAGCTGAATCTCGTATTTTTCGCATTCCAGGAAGCGTATTTTTCATGAAAAGTCGTATTCGCGTATTTTCGGCAAAAAATCGTACTAAAATACGTAAAATCGTACTGGTTGGCATCTCTGCAATAGTTTTATTCATAAAAATGCCTACAATTCAGCTTCCCACTTGGGACAAAAAAATAAAAAGGGAAAACCACTCTTCTTTTGTTTTTTAGAAGTCCACAGTGTATGGATCCACAGAAACTTTGTGGTGAATCAGAAAATTTATCACCCTGTTATCGCGAGCACCGCTAGGGGACCAACAAGGTCTTTGCAACTATAGCTGCAAGCACCGCTCAGAGGGTTAAAAGGTTTTAATTGTAGATAACCCCAGCCTATAAGATAGCATTGGATTTTAATTTTAAAATTTCAGGAGTAATGAAGTATTAGTAAATGCTTTGATACCAGGTTTAATAAACATGTTTGAGAAAACCATAAGCTGGATATTTTTACACTGCATTGAGGATCTAATGAGTTAAAAATAATGATTATGGAATCTCAGGTGTGATAGCTTTGCATTTGATGTTACTGATATACAAAGTCCAGGGCTCCCCCTCATTAAGATGAAAAACATTTCCAGGCTTTTCCCCAGTTTTTCTCCTGAATTTTGTAACCATTGTCAAAGAGATATTACTTTTTAAAAGATGGGCCGCACATGACATTGTGACGCAGACTACACCCCTGATTCTGATTTCCTGTCTTTCTCCTGGTCATTTTCGTTTTCATTCATTTTCATGGCGTTTTCCCGACCAGGAAATCTGAAAATAAAATTCCCGAATTTCTCCCATTTTCCTAGTTGGGTGGGAACTCTGAAAGTACTTCAGAATCTTCTAAGGGAGCCAAACAAAAGTTCACTTACAAAGGTGGTGGAGAGCTTATTGGAGTTGTGGTTGCTGACTTTGATTTCACATCAGCTGGAGCTGTCAGCTGTGCCCCGTGGTAAGCCCTGTAGAGAGAACACGATGAAAAACATGAGGACAGTGATTATACATACTGTATGGACGTCACATCAGTATAAGACAAGATATGATAAGTCTAAATCTTACTGACACTGAGGACAAGCATTGATATTGAGAAGAAAATTCTTTCCAAACTTTCTGAGGTTGTCGATTTTGAATTGTATTTCACAATAAGCCAGCTTGATAACAGCCTCCTTACTACTGGGACAGATCAGGTCAATAGTAACAGAAAAAGAAGCGCTAGAAACAGTCCACACTTGACCACCTATATTTTCACAGATATCATAAATTAATTGCATTTGAGTTTGTTTTTTAAAATTAACCCTATCCGTACGTAATGATTTACTATCGCATCCATACGTTGTGGGGCACTCTGTACCTCCACTTTCCAAAGAAGAAATTTACTCGTTAATCCCATCCGTACCCTTTGTATAGCAGTCTGTCAAAATTATTTTTTTGAGAAATACTGAAAGTTTCAAAGAGATCTTCGTACTAGAAGTATTCTAAAATGTGAAGAATACAACACCGGGGGTACAAAATTGTACGTGATAGTAGTTATTAAGCTTTTGTTTCATTCCAGTTTCAATCTGTAATTTCCGACATTTCCAATACAAATATTATTACGTTCTCTCAGTATCTATTATGTTCTCTCATTATCGTTTATTCACGCTGTTCTGTTCTGTAACAATTTATGACAGTGTGATGTCATCAATGTGTACGAACTCGATGACGTACTGGAGAGAGAGAGAGAGAGAGAAAGAGAGAGAGAGAAAGAGAGAGAGAGAGAGAAAGAAAGAAAGAAAGAGAGAGAGAGAGACAGAGACAGAGAGAGAAAGAGAGAGAGAGAGAGAAAGAAAGAAAGAAAGAGAGAGAGAGAGACAGAGACAGAGAGAGAAAGAGAGAGAGAGAGAGAGAGAGAGAGAGAGAGAGAGAGAGAGACAGTCACAGAGACAGAGTGAGAGAGAGAGAAAAGAGGATTACTGTAGGAGCAGTGCGCTGTATATGTTATTTGTACTTGTATTATTGTACAGCGCATTGAGCACTTCTTTGTGGAAATGCACAATGTAAATGCAATTTATTAATATTATTTATTATTAAGTAAGGCGGAAAACCAGTTATTTTAGTAGGGAATGTGCACAAATTGCCCTTAACTGAATTATCAGTGCTGCCCCTGGTCATATAAAAATAATATGGTTAAAAACTTAGCATCTTTCAAAGAGTTATTGAATAGTAACAACTCTCAAAGAGATGATGAGTATAAAGCAATTATTAGTAAGAATACAAAGAACCATATTCATCAAGAAGAAACAAAGCAAGCAAATGAATATCAACAGTTTAGATCTAATTGTTAGTATTTTGTTATTTTCCTTTAGCTTTTATTACCTATTCCTAGCCCAGCGGGGAGGACATATACCATTTCCCCAAGCGCTGCACATAGAAATTAGAATTTGAAGTCATTTTTGCAGTCACCAACCCCACCAATTAATAAATGAAAGGAAGAAAACCCCACATGGGGACCCCTCCTGATCCGCAACTCAGTTCAAATGTCTAATGCTCTTTCTTAACTACAGAGCTGATGAGATTCATGTAACTTAATTGAACATTGAACACATTTATTTTTGCATTGGAGCACGAGTCAAATCAAAGAACAAATAATTAATTCTGTTTATGTGCTTGTTGGTGTGTAAGTGTCCTGTGCGGGCTCTGAAGATCTAAGTCTGATTGGCTCTACATAAGAGATTCAAGAACAAATGGTAAACTTATAAAAAGTGACTTTGGCTGTCTCTCCAAGAACCTGAGGCTTTTCTTTCAATCTTGCATGCAAAATCCCACAAAAATCCCGGAATTCTAGACACAGGGATTACTGAAATAACATCAAACTTCATGGACCCAAAAATACAAATGTTGACTGTGCACAAAAGCATGTCATATCACTGAATGGATTGTATCCAAGGGGAGCACTTTCACTTAGTGGCCTTCACTTCATAAAACATATTAAATTCTCTTATAAACTCAGCTGTGTTCAATCTCCATAAAGCTCAACTGGACAACGCACCTGAAAGCACTGCCTTTTCCACCCATTGTCAGGAAAGAAGTGTCACTGACATTCCGTCTGTGTCGGTTCACCTTGCTATCTGCCGGAGGATTGAGTAGCACTGAGGAGGACTGGGGAAAAAAATACAAAAGAGAAATAAGTCAAGATAAAAGAAAGAAGAAAAACAATAACACTATTATTGATTCCAGTAGGGAATTTGGGGAAAAAAGTAACAAATAGAATTCGAGGTTCCATCAACACCAAATGTTAAATAAAATCAGAACACACATTTTCCATAGCTGGTCACCACAGTGTAGCACTTTGTTTATGTAGAGCTAATGTGTCTTTCTCAAGGCCACATCCAATACACAACGAACTTAAAGACTGTAACGCTTACACACTGTTCCTGGGCCTGAGCTTACTATATAAGAATGGCTTACGTTTCCCATCCAGACACGAGAATGACCATGTTCTGCCAAGAACAGATCAGGATTAAAGAAACTCTGAGAAGAAGTGGAAAGAACAGAGTTGGTACACCTGCCCTGATTAACAACTCTCACAAAAAAAGTTTTCCTCAAGTATTGAATTGAAGTGAGGCATATCATTAGAATAGCAAAAATAATAATAACGGTAATAATAATAAAAATGCAGATCATTTCTATAGTACCCACTCCCGTAAAATACAGCAGAAGGCGATTTATTACTACCTTCATCTTAAAACAAAATACATGTATCACTTGTACATAACAGCCAATTATACTATCATAGTTCAATCAATGACAAAATACACATCACATATGAACATAAGTGTACTATAAATAAGAAAACTAACAGAGAGATGACATTTCATGAAGCATGCTTTTAAATTAGTTTTCAATTTTGCCTCCTACTTCTTATCTTCTTTGAATCATCAAACAGAAAGGAGAAAAGGTAAGTTGAAGAACAGAGAGAACAGTTTGAGGGGGGAACAAACAAGCTTTTGTTTGTGACAGCTACCAAAAAGCAAACGGGCGCTATAACTGCTATTTCGTGTCACAGATGTACACAAGCAACAGATGGACAGGGGCCATATAGTATATAACGGTAGTGAACAGGCTGCAAGAAAAAGAGGTAGAAATAAAACCAAATCAACTGCATTAAGATGTGAAAGAAGATAAGATATATATCCAAAGACATAGAAGACATTGAGAGCATGGAACTCACAGTAATAACACAGAAGACAATTGAAGTACTAGACTACACTGCAATAAGCACTAACAAGTTAAGTTTAGAAAGCAGGAGCACATCGGTACAATAATGGTAATCAAGCAAAGGAAGAAAGCAATTATGCTCTACAACCACCCATGCCACTAATGAGTAGTTGGAAAACAACGGCAAAAATCAACAAAAACAGCAACACTAGTAAAAATAATATCACATTTTACTAGTTAAGAGGTAAAACTCTTTCCCTCAAAATCAACCCATATACTACGTCAGAGTATCTTTGGCACAACACAAATTAAGACATTTTGCACCTTCCTCATCTGCGAAATATGATGTCACTTGCAGAGAAATGAAACAAATAGCTGAAAGATACCTCGTTTGCATACTCATAGCCAAGAGATGAGTAAAAAATTTTCTAGTGTGCAGACCATGATGAAAAGAAAAAACCCAAAACAAAACTTAGGAAAACAACAGAGGATACATCAAGAGGCAAAAGGTGGACCCTCTTCTCCACCCTCGAGGATCTTGACTTTGCCGACAACCTTGCACTACTCTCCCATACCAAACAGCACATGCAGGAAAAATCAAACCGAGTCCACAAATACGGACGCCAGATTGGGTTAAGAAAAAGCCAGAAGAAGGCAGAAGTGATGACACTGAATGTAGGCTCCCCAACGCCGATTAGGGTGAACAACACAAACCTCCCTATAACAGACACATTTACCTACCTAGGCAGCATAATCAAAATTGACGGCGGCAAAAAGGAAGACATCATGAACAGACTCAGCAAGGCAAGAACTGTACACAGAAGTATGATCAACATCTGGAAGTCAGGACACTTTTGTATACAAACCAAGTTGAAGCTGTATAACAGCTGTGTACTATCCACACTCCTAAATGGAGCTGAAAGCTGGAGCATGACTGATCATGACCGTACCAAGCTATCTTCCTTTCATACAACCAGCTTACGCCAAATCCTCAGAATCTTCTGGCCTGACAAGATTTCCAACGCAGATCTGTTACGTAAATGTAAGCAAGAGGACATGACCACCATAATAAAAAGGAGAAGATGGAGATGGATTGGACATGTTCTGAGAAGAGAACCAGACACTATTGTGAAGACTGCCCTCCACTGGACACCCAAAGGACGTCGCAAAAGGGGCAGACCCAAAGCAACCTGAACACGCACAGTAGAGTCTGAAATGAAGTCCTGGAATCATTCGTGGGGAACGCTGACCAAGATGGCCCAAAACAGACAGAGCTGGAGATCCTTTGTTGCTGCCCTAAACGCCAGGTGGCGTAATGGGTAGTAAGTAAGTAAAAACTAAGGGCAAAACAATCAAAATAAATCACTGCATGGAAGTGGGCATGGCTGAGCCAGTCACAGAAATAAACAATCCACATCGTACTGCACAACACAGAACACTTACCGGGGTCTGTTCTGAAGAGCTTAGCTGTTTCGAATATGGTGGTTTCGGTCGCTTGAAAGAATGATCACTGTGAGAATGCGAGACACTGTCAAATTTTGCCTTGTTCCCAGCATTAATATCATCTTCAATCTGAATCAGCTGGCCCGTCTTCACCTAAATACAAAAAGTGTGACATCATCCATAAAATAAATTCAATCTCAATACCTCCCTCTATTCCACCCTCAATATGGAAAAACAAACAGAAAAAAAACTGTAAAATTTTACAATACTATAGGATGCACTGAAAGTTGAAAAACAAAATGAGAATTGGAATAAATCTGTAATAACAAGAGGGCTGCAGATGAAAAAAAAATGTAGAACAGGAATGATAGTGAGGTCTTTACTAATATCTTTGAAACATAGAAAAGAAATCAACATAGAAACATAATTTTTGGCATTCTGTTCTCTTGACACCTGCATTCTTTTTACAAAAACATAAATGAATATTACACAGACAAAAATGGCAATAAAAATAATAAATATGATAACAATGCTACCAACAGTGACAATAATATAATAAAGAAAATTACAATCTTCAACTGTTGCAGCTCTCATTCCCTTGAACATTTATATAGGTACCGAAATTAGTCAACACAAATACACACCCAAACAACAGCATACACATAAGTCTTCATTTGCACTATTCTCTACGAAGTTTGTCCTCATAATTACATGCCTGCTCGCATGCATGTATGTACTCATGCACGCACACGCACACACACACATACACACAAGGCTCTTGTCAAGATCATGAATTAGAAGAAAACAATATGTGAGGCATCGTGGTGAAATCAGGCGCTCTTTATAATAATAAAATCGAAGATACTGGCATTTCGGTTTGCAAATTTTGAATAAATTTTTGCTTTTTTCCTCAACACCTTTCATGCCCATTTAAAAACACATCTATAAGTGGATCTTACTGAAAAACGTTTAGCAAAGGCACGAAAAATGTAAATATTCAGTTTAGAAAGACTTTCAAGTTATAGAAATCAACAAACTTCGAAGGCCATTTTCTCTGTAATTTTACCTCTGAAACCAAGCTACCCCCACCTCTTTCAACCATAAATATATGCGAGGTATGCTGACAAAATGAGTTATTTCTCAGATTTTAGCCTTATGGAAATTAATACATCAACTTTATTGGTGAAGTTTGTACAATTTGTAAGTTTGGAACAATATAAGACATGGTAGAATTTAACGAAATAAATAAATCTGACTCCAGTGTCGATTATCGGCCAATATCTTCATTCTTCGATTGGGAGAAGTAACTCATTTTGTCAGTACGCCTCATATATTGACTTCAATTCAAGATGGATTGGCATTTTTTTCACAGAAAAATAAAAAAATAAATAAGCTTTAAGATGACACCAATAACTCACTGCGTCGTGACACATATTTATCTGACAATAAGGCAACTTTTAACAAAATCGTTTTCTTTTTTTGTTTTGGCAAAACACCTATAATGTCCATTTAAAAGCACATTTCTGTGGGCATTTTAATTAAAAATGATTACAAAAAAATGTTAATTTGCAGTTTCCTAGGTCACTCAAGCTTTTGAAGTTACGAAACTTTGGGGCAATACTCTCGAGATTCACCTCTGACACATGATGACCCCTACCTTCTTCATTGCAAATATCTTGACTTCTTTTCAAGATAGATTGGGTTTTTTCAATCAAAAGAAAGACAAACGTACAAGCTATAAGATAATACCAGTAACTCCAATGGCCCAAGAATAGATGAGAGGCTGAAAACATTGCGTCCTGACACCAATAATATGTTCCGTGCAACCATGACACAGAAACTCACTACTGCCTCACTTACAGCATTGTTGGCCAGCCTCTCTCCAGAGGCTCCTTTGTCTCCGTGGGGAGCAGTGAATGTATTTGACAGCTTCTGCTGCTGCTGTAATTGCTGTTGCTGCTGTAAATGTTGTTGTTGCTGTAACTGGTGCTGTTGCTGCTGTAGTTGTTGCTGTTGCAGCTGCAGCTGTTGTTGCTGTATCTGCTGTTGTTGAACAGCATTCGGATACATCTGGTACATTCCTACAGGATGCTGAAACAAAAGAAGACAAACCGTGAGCTGCTACTCCAGATTTTCCACAAAAGTGAGGTGGTGATCATAGGCTGGTCCACAAAACAGGGAACATTTGACTTTTTATTCTTCTTCTAAGAAAATGGTTTGCTTCGGGCGTTAAAAGTGATATCAATGCTATAGTAAATCTAGTTTATTGAGTAAAGAATGTTTAGTTTTAGTAAGTGTTTTACAGCACTTGCAACACAATATAAGGTCATATAAGTGCTGAAGATTAGAGGTGTTACAAGGGAGTATCAAACAAAAACAGGAGGGGAGATAGTTTTAGTTTCAGTAGAGGTTTTACGGCACTCGCAACTGCATAAGGTCATATGAGCGCCAGAAGATTAGAGATGTTACAAAAGAGTAACAAACATAAAAAAGAAGAAGGGGAGAAAAGGACAATAGATGTTTGATAGGAAAGAAGAAGCAAACCACACCAGAGCACCCGCCAACCACCCACTGAATAAAGAGAAGCACATTGACATAAAACCAATCAATTAGTCATGGGGAAAAAACAAGAAAGACAGAAACTAGAGAAAAGAAAAGAGAAATTAAAGAAGTAGGATCTACTAGTGACTCCTCTTACCAACTAAAAATGTGAAAAATAGACACCACATGCAAGCAGACAGGTTGTGAGTGTATTCCAGAAGCGTTAGGATACAAGAAGAACTGGAATTGAAAAGGCAGTCTTTTTTTAAGCTGATGCTAAATAAGAACGTCATTTTTATCCACCAAACAAGGATCTGAAACATCAAAAACTTCTGTCCCTCGGAAAACTCCTGAACTCCTTATCTCTAGCAAGCCGTTCCCAGTGGCTTGTGGTTGGAACCGTTGTGCCGGTGAGCCGCTGTGGCTCAGGCACATTCCTTTACAACGATTTCGACATCAAATTACTTTTCAGCAATTGCAGGAAATAGGTCTCTTTTACTGGGAGTTCATTCATTAGATGAAAGACTATCAAAATAGGTTCACTTGTTTCGATTCAATGACCCATTTAGTGACGTTTTTGTCATCTTTAGATTTAGTACCAAAACAGGGCCCCTGCATAGTGGGTTTACCACCCTCGGAGATAATGATTTTAAAAAATCCTACAGGAAGCCACCCAGTTCAGCCATAGTTTGCAACCACTCAGCAGTTTTATCTGTTGCACTTCGCTTTGCCAGTAAAAGACACCAAACAGAAGTACAGGATGCAGACCACATTAGAACACCCACAAACCAGCCACACTAGAAACAAAGCAAAACACTAACTTAAAAACACTAAACAAAGAAAATTTTTTAAAGTTTTAGTAAGTGTTTTACGGCACTTGCAACTCAATAAGGTAATATAAGTGCCGAAGATCAGAGACGCTACAAGAGAGTAACAACCACAAAAAAGAAGGAGGGTAGATGAGGACGATAGATGTTTGATAGGAAAGAATGGAGACGTAGAAAATGCAGACCACATCAGAGCGCCTACAAATCAACCACCCCAACTAGAAACAGAACACAACACCACAAACGTAACAAACCTAATAAAAAAAAAAAGAAAAAAAAAAAGGAAAAGACGCCGCAGACACCGACCACAGTACAGCACCCAAAACTTGAAACAGACCATAACACAACAAATGAAACAAATGTAACGGTGCGAAACAGAAAAAAAATAAAAAGATATAGAGGATGCAGTTCCTATCAAAGAAACCCCCCAAAAACCCACCAGCACTAACAACATGCATTAACGTAAAAATTAAAAATAAAATAATAACGAACTTAAGCAAAAATGAACAAACAAAAGATGGTCAACAAAAATACGTACTTGTGGCGGCATGAACTGCTGCTGCTGATGGGCATAGAAAGACTGGGCAGACTGAGGGGCTGGGACATTAGCCTGAGGGACGCTGGCCAGTGGAGATGTTTGCTGTGGGCTCGGGTACATCGGGGACACGGCCACGCCCACCTGCCCTGGGTACTGGGGGGACGGGATGGGCTGAGGACCGACATCTGAAACACCAAAGAACAGATAAAATTGGGGCTAGTCAGTGATACTTCTCACATACAAGCACACTTATGGCGTCATGTTCTATAACACAGTAAGAAATAAGGAGAACATTTTCTCTCTTAAAGCACTGCTCATATTGATTTCGGGTTCTCAAAAATTTTTATTTTAAAAGTCAGCATGCACTATAAATAGTATAGGATTACTGAAGGTAAAACTTTTGTGTTTACATTCATCGATTAAGTTAAAATGTTCTTGTTTTTGAGGGGTTTTTTGCCTGTTGTTAGATTTCAACACCTACAGTACCATTAGCGACTTTAGTCGCAGATGCAACCAGGCACACTAAACATAATTAAACAACGAATGGATGCACTGCACTGAAGTAAATACCAAAGGAAGTCACTCTATATGATAGCTGAATGGTTGATAAACCTCTATGAACTCTTATAGCGTGTTTCTTGGGCTGCCAAGTTTTTTTTTAATCAGAAAAGATTCTACCACGGCTCAAGCATTCTAAATTGGTGTGGTATTTGAGGTTTTTTTTACTATATGAGCCTTCGGCACTGTAAATGTTAATGAAACCAATTACACAGTCAGAACACAACACCATTACTGTACTGTCATGTTGATGGCAGTTATATAACTAAAACTGTTATTACAGTCTAAATAGCATTATGGTAAGCCAGTAGCCACCATTGACTCCCTATAACAGGAAAAATGTGACGTCAGCATTCGTCATTAAATCTGACATTACCATTCCATTGAGGAATTAACATTTTGTTCTTCTATACAAGTTGAGAAGAAGCAAAACAATCCTAGGAAAAATTTTGAATTATGACTTTGTCGTCACATGTCAGAGTAGCGAATCAGATCACTACAATTACAATGTCTTGCCAAAAGAATCGACTTATTTAAGTTAACCAAAGCACATCAATACAATGACTGTTATTACAGATTGGAAAAAGCAAGATAGACGAACAGAAACAACAAAACAGAAGGAAAGTAAAGAAACAAACTATTACAGCAAAAGAGCTGTAGGCAAGCAAACGAACACTTCAAATTCTTTGCGAAAAGACAAACAAAAAAAAAAGATGAAAAACACATGAACTCAAAAATAATTATTGAAGCTCAAACAAAACTTAAAACATGATAAATAGAAATGAAACAGGGTGTGCAAAGAAGTAAGACCCATAAATTATATTATACCTTCTGTCCCATACATACACAGAAAACCACTGAGTAAATCACACTTAGAATCCCCCCCAAAAAACATGTGGTGGGGGGGTGTAGAAGTTTAACTCACCGACTGGTGTGTTTGGATTGCTGGCGGTGGGGCGGCGTCTAGGAGCTATGGAGGTCTGTATAGGAAGTCCCAGAGTGGCTGTGGTAGCAGCGGCTTGACCCCGCGGCCTTTGCCTGGGCGCCACTGTAGTCCCCTCCATGTTGGGTGTACCGGAACTACTGTCAGAGGATACAGAAAAAGGTTGGGTTTGACAAGATACAAACCAAAGATTTCTGGGCAGAAAAGACAAGACCTAAAGAGGGAGACACTGCTGAGGTGACAAAAATGGTTAAATTACTGCTGAAGCACAGTGCTGAATTGAGTTCCTGGTAATAAAAGGGTTTAGTTAAGATATTCCGGAGGAGTCTTCGATTCTTCAATAGTTTCAATCCCAACTGGTTGCTACACAAGGTCTGACGGGGGCTGTAAGTTTGTGAAATCATGTATATTAAATTACTCGCTTATTTTTCGCACAATATCATTGAGTTTAGCAACAATATATACGAACCAAAGTAAGAAATATTTTTGTGTACTTAATTCTTATGTTTTGATAGGCACATAAGTGGAAGAAAATTTTGGTGAAAAAATAATCCTGTTCCCATTTTTTTTTTTTAATTGATCAAAACCTTACACAAAGTAAATTTCTGTTCTACACACAAATCTCTCTGAAAATAGGAGCACCAACTATATACAACCGTGAGCAAAAGTAAGGGCAATAGGCATCAGGCATGTTCTTCCCTAAACAATGACTAAGTATGTGCTATAAACATTTTTTAAATCTTAAGGGAGTTTAAGACGAGTAAAAGGCTTTCTTTATTTTACAAGATATTATTGCCAAATGAAAATCTAATGCAATCAGCACAAAAAGTGATTTTATTTCAAAAAGTGAAAGTCATTCTCAATTCAACCCGTTGAGTCTCAAACACCAAAGTATGCAGATTACTTACATGTCAGATTTCTGAGAGGTTGACTTGATTTGCTTTGCTTCTGTTTCTGTGATAGGACTTGGCAAACTTTTGAGATCAGGCACACGGGTGGACTATAAAGACAATAATAAAGTGCACCTGTAATTTATACAGCCACAATATTGAAGCTCATACACACACACAAACAAACAAAAAATCTGAAGCAAACACTGCATTGTAGACGGGTTAGACAAAGGCATGGTAAAATAGTCAAAATAAGTAATACCAGTCACAACTTCTCAAAGATGGGTGTAAAAAAAGACTGTTAGACTCCAACATACATCATACAAGCATTCGCACACACCTCAAAGAAGATCTAGTCATATAAAAAGGAGAACTGTATCACTTGATGATGGCATGTCCAGAGAAGATTTTTTTTGTGTAATTGCAAAGAGAGCAATACTTAAAGCTCTGTCCTCACATTCAAACTCATTTCTGCTGGAAACTAATGTCCACATCCAGAAACCTTAAAAAAAAAACACATCCATAAAAATCCAGAGTTCTGTAACAAGCTGAATCTTGAAAACTAGACTTCTTTTATGAAAAAAGATAACGCCCAAAAAGTGCACATTTATAATACACTGAAACATTGAAGTGTACCATAAACTCCTCTCACGTTCTGGGACATAACATTTATTTTTAAGAAAAGGAAAAAAAAGTCCCACAAAAATAATGCAATAACAATATCTTACATTCATATTTGGCACTGGATTCGGTCGTCCAGTAATCTGGAAGGCAACACTTGACACTTGAAATATGTCAGGTCTCTTTACAGGATCCTTTTCAAGCATAAAGGCTGTTGAAAGGAGAAATGTTGAAGACAAAATTATACATATTTTATCATATGTAATCTGTCAATAGCATGCATTTTGTTAGACAAATCAACTGCATCTTTTTTCTTCTGTAACTACATAATATGGGGCTGGATGGGAACAAAAAGATAAATAAAATCCAAAGGAGGACATTACAAATGATAAAAAATAAATGAAAAAAACCCCTACATTTTATTGATCCCCGTTGGGAAATTCGGGTTACGATGGCAAACATACATGTATATATAAATAAACAACTAGAAATACACAATGTACATAAATATGCAATATTATACCAATACAGAACAACTTCACAAACATGCAGTTGCTGGTCGCCACTGTGCAGCGCTCAGGGCTTTTTTTTACCTAAGGTAGTCGTATCCTGCTCAAGGACATACCCCGGTGATGCCCATGTAAACCCTGTGTCACTGACACTTGCTCAACATTACTTTTGAGTCTGAACTCGCTACTCAACTAGCCTCTGGAGCTCCCATTTCAATCTAAACAGAAAAAAACAAACCAAAACACTAAGAAAAACAGCAAACTATAGCAAAATAATGTGGCCTTAGGAGACTCAAATCATGTATGAAAGAATTATAAAAGAAAACAGTTCTTCATAGATATTTGAGTCACTGGGTCCGTATATCAATTACACCAAGAAGACAAGACTTACACGTATTTATGAGAACATACCAATGAGGGACAAGAGTGAACTGGAATAGCGGTGGCTGTCAGGAACAGTGTAGTTGCTACTCTGTATGGCAAGTGAGCTTTCCCCAAAAGGAAGTGTGAAGAAACACAACTTGTACAGCAAACAGCCCAAAGCCTGGGGAAATAAAAACAATGGTGCCAATTCATACAGATTAAAGTACTTAAGATGTGTGTTCAGTACAGAAACTTTTTGATGTCCAATACATCCCTGTAAAAACCAAACGTTCAGCTATCCATCCTTTATACACACATTTCAGAACAGAATAAATCCACATTTTCCAAATGACCAAATAAACTAGCCAAGACAGGAGCCCATTACATTCTTCACATTTTCCAAATGACCAAATAAACTAGCCAAGACAGGAGCCCATTACATTCTCCACCACTGAGGACTACATGACATCAGAGCTACATTTTTTCCCTTTGAGATCTGAGAAAAGAGAAGTACATTGATATGATAAGTGTTATTTAGTGCCAGGGCAAAGTAAGACAGATAGACAAAAATTAGGGGGAAAGAAAAGCTGCCAGTGGCAAATTCCGATCTGATGTTCCTTCAAGTTCAAACACATAAATAGCACACTATGAAACTAAATGATAATAAAATAAACTTGCACCTTACACAACATATTTAATAAAAAAGGAAAAATTCCACGCCTCAGTGGGCTTACAACAACAATTATTAGATATTTAACTGTGTACGCATCTATTGTTTTAGTAAGGTTTTACGGCGCTCGCAACTGCATAAGAGCGTCAAGGGGTAGATGTCAGCAGGTAATCGTGCTTACTCTGCTCAATTCTCTAGCTTCAATAGCAAAAAGTCTGCTTCGACTATCAAGGCACCCCGGAAATAGCAGGTCACAAGAGTGTGACAAACTTACAAAAGAAGTAGTGGAAAAATGACGATAGTAGGGATTATGAAAGAAAAAGCAGTAGTTCCCTTTTGCAGTTCAGGCACAGTTATGAGCATGAGATTGATGAATCAGCCCATTTACAATTTTACTGTGCATAACAACATGTTAATGTCCCCCCTGTGGGAATGGCTTAAAGACACTTCAGTCAGTAGCAACCAATAGTTTTAAATTTACTGGCCTCAGGACCACGAATATTCCTGAACCTCAATCTCAATCTTCCTGTTAAGGCCAAACCAGACAGACTGGGTAACAAGATCCCAACTGACGGAGATATTCTATAACAAAAAAAAAAAAATGTTCCAGACTTGATGGATAGAATCACAACTTCTGCAATCAATACAATAGAGTTAAACAGATGTCGGTTAATTCTCTCTCCCTGAGCTTATTGCTTTCTCTGACTGCTTCTCCAGAAAACTTGCCACACATGGAAACATACCCATATATCTGCCTTTGTGCTGATTGGAATACCTCCGTACAAGTCAACCATCTCTGGCGATCGATATGACAGTGTGGTGTATCTGAAATGTGAGGGAAAGAAAACAGTCTTAGACACAAAGACAGATGTCACCGCCATTTTGTCTTGTATTCTCATTCTAAACCTTCTCCAACACTACAAGCAATGCAAATAATAAAATAGATACATGTTGAGTGCAGAAAGACACAGTGATTAACGAATTCCTGAAACCTGTGAATAAAAATTATATGATGAAAAAACTCCACAATATATTTTCTTAACCATAAAGGCATAACGGCCATATATGGGGTGTAAGCGCGGCTACCCAGGAAGCATGACAGACGTTTTTCTAGGGGCGACCTACTTCGCGGGAATCGCACAGGCCTTATATAAAGGGCACAGACCCTGACCTTCTTTGATGGAAAATTTCAGAATTCCTTGCATGCAAAATGACATAGTAAATTTCAGGTCAAAGTTATAAATAGTGACCAATGAGTTTGCAAGTTATTTTGGCCCAGATATCGATCGATAAGGTGACGCAGTCCACTGGAACGACTACACACTATGTGTTTATCACTCGTTACGCTGTGCTGCTTCACTAATCATGGACTTCCTCGTGTTTTGCGCTTTGTTTGTAACACTTACTATTTTTGAATGGCTCATTCTATTAGCTTTAAGAAAAGATAAGATGATGTCTTTTTTCATCTGTTGAGCAGTAAATGGTCATTTTTCAGTCAGGTATAAATTTCAGCTGAAACCCCCACCAAACCCCGATGTTTACAAACAATTGTAAGGGTTAAGATGCTGTCTAGATAAGAGTAAAACACTTTTCATTTTTTAAAAGTAAAAATCAAAGAATTTCTAGTTTTCTTACCTATTTTTTTGGGAGCCACTCACTTCAATACCGTTACAAGCTGACACATACATTTTAATACAAGTTTTGGAACAAATACAGTAAATTGCAAGGCAAGTGTACTCATCTGTTGGAAACAAGGTTTTAAACTACTCACTTCTGGATTTCCTCCTCTATGGTTGTTATCTTCTGCTGTGATGGATCCATCACCCTGCCAGTTGCACTTCCAAAGTCACACAAAACATAATTGCCTCCTTCACCACATAAAATATTCTCAATCTGTGGAACAAAGCGCATTTTAGCAAAGTAAAATGAAAATGCACACTGTCAAAACCAAATGACCATGGAAAAACCAGAACAGGAGAAAATAAAGAAGCCAGAGACAATCTTTTACAGCAAAAATGTGACAGGCAAGCAAACAAACACTTTGAATTCTTGTTCTAATTTTGGTCAGCTCATTTGAAGGATGGGTCAATAAATTTCAGGCAAGCACAAAACAGAATATGCTTCTTAGCCCTACTCTTCTGTAATTTAAAAGAAAAACAATCTCCCTCAATTAAAGGACCAAAAAGCTCAAAACAAATCATCTCATACCTTCAAAAGCTGAGCAGTGATAAGTAAAAACTTCCCCATGACTGAAACAACCAACATTGCCAGGTAGTCAGATAAAAACCCAGTACACAAAGTCTGTTGAGCTAAAGGGCAATCCTTTCCACAGAGAAAGAAGTGCATTTGTGTCACGGCACAGTGAAATCAGGCTCTCGTCAATTTTTCGGCATATGGAGTTATATGTATTAGCTTAAAGCTTGTTCCTTTGTCTTGATTTTGATAAAAGAACTTTCTATATATATCTTCAATTGAAGTAAAAATATTTTGGATTGAAGGAGGTGGGGGTCACCTGGTTTCAAAGGTAAAACTATCGAGAAAATGGCCGTCAAAGTCTGGTTACTTCCAAAGCTTGAGAGTCCATAAAAACTACAAATTTACATTTTATGTAGCTTTAAGCAACGCTTTTTAGTAAAATCCACATTGAAATGTGTTTTTAACACTTTTCCGCCTCATCTGGCCAATTGGCGATGTTTACCACTCAGTTTCCTTGGATTTTCCACAAAATATGATGGCAAAGCGTTAAAAGGAATTAAAAACAAAATTCAATAAATATTGCCAAGCCAGCAGAAAAATGCCAGTTTCTTCAATTTCATGATTTTCAAGTAAAGTAGACGAGCACTTGATTTCACCACGCTACCTCACATATAATAGTAATTTACCTTGCTGATGTCCCTCTCCTCTACATTAAAATACACAAGTCTTAACTCGTACACAGACTTGTCATTAGAAATCAGCCCTCATTTTACATAATTTCGCACATACACAATAAGTGCATATAGAAAATAAATTTGTATTCTGGCAGAACTTGTTTTTTAAATCATGAGAGAACCAAAATCTCAAAGCCATTATTTACCCAGAACAGCAACAGCCTGACAACTTCACTAACAAAGCAGTAACAGTGGCACCCTCTCAAAAAGACCTATTATCAATTTCAACTATCACAAGCAAAAATATGACATTCATTGAGAAGATCAGTTCAAATACGTTCTTCACAAAGAAGGAAATTATTGGAAAAAAAATGATAATGAAAACATTTTTAAAAATTTCTTCTAATATTAAATAATAGAAAATAGAAAAACACATGCCAAACCATGCGTAAATTACACTATTCCATAAACAAAAAATTCATTACCTTCAAATCCCTGTGTATAATAGGAGTTTGACAATGGTGTAGCCGAGAGACAGCTTCACATACATCACAGAAAATTTTGAGGATTTCTGGCTCAGAAAAGCCAGATTCAATTCTGTCATTCATTGCTTGTATCACAGATCCTGTGGATGAAAATGAGTTTTACAGTGTTCAGTAAAGAAAACAAAAGGACAGAAATCATTTGGACAAGCACATTAATCTGAATAACAGCTAAAGGACCAATGCAGAAAAGAAACACAATGAGTTCTAACTGCAAGGAGACAGATAAGAAGGGAGGAATGTCTATTTAATTTTCAGCTTCACATATATGTACAAAACTTGCTACTTGCAGACCTTCATTTCACTCTTGACACCATTAAAACAATTTATGTATCTCACATTTTATTTAAACACTTCGTGCTCATTACATGCTCATTCAAAAGAAACTGCAGCTCACAATATTTAAAAAGCATTTAAAACATACTTCTTTTCTGCACACTGATACGATATAAGATGGTTTCTCTTGGGGTCATAATAATGTAATGCACGCATCAAACTCAAACAGGCAGAAAATAAAGCTATTTGTTTTCAATAGCAGCACTCGGTTGATGGCCTGTCATTGAAAACTAATATTGCTATCACTGAAACGTAGAAGGGCATTCACCACCACAAAGTAAATTATTGTAAATGTGACACTTTCATTACAGCTGTCATTTCTATTACCAGTAGAAATGAGTGGTAGCGGCATTATAATTCAGGAAAGGCAGCTATCATTTCTCACCTCGACAATATTGCATAAGGATGAGCACTTCATACACTCGGTTCTGAGTGACTGTAATGCTTGACTCAATGTAGCGTATGATATTTTTGTGACCGCTAAGATCTTTCTGTAAGCAAAAACATAACATAACATACATAAAATATAAAGACAATTTCCAAGAGGAAATATATTTTCAACGCAAAATAAAAGACAAATAATAGTCTCAATTTGTACACATATAAAAGAGAAGTACTGAAGTCAACAACTAATGATCTAAAGTACAAAACACAGTTAAGTCATACACAGACATACACAGAAAATAACATTTTCTGGATCTACACATACACCTGTTTTTTTTAAACAACTGTGAACTTTGAACTTTGAATGCCTTAATCAAAACACCGTTCACACAACAACTAGATGCATATATATATATATAAAACACATCGAATCTTTCACAGGTGCAAGCTAAAACAAGTCCTGAAAAGTTTTCCAAAATTTAAAAATAATTATGAAAACATGTCTAACTAAAAAGACTGACCCTAACATAAAACAGACGCTAGACATCATAACAGAGCTACACACTTCATAGTAACATAATAGGTCCCATAACGAAGCAAAACAAAAGCATAAAAGAAAAACACTTACCATTATCTTGATTTCTTTCTGACAGACTGCCAAATCACGATCATTGTTGACGTACATTCGTTTGAGGGCCAAACGTCCACCATTTGCATTTTTAACAAGGAAAACGACAGCAAAACCTCCTAGAAAAATCAAGACAAAAAGGATATTAGTTGAAAACAGTAAAAATTTACGAAGGAAACAGTTTTATTAAAACAAAAAAAGCACCATGCATGCTGAAATCTAAGTACAATGGTACAGAAGAAAAGAATTTATAACTGCCATTCATCAAAAGAATCTGGGTAAAAAAATTAAGCCCCTCCAATTTACAGAAACAGGTAAATGCACACATGAAACTTGTAATCAGCCCTGTGAAAAGTATCAAAGAAAAAGATATAGAGCATTAGAATTTGATTTAAAGAACAAAGAATTCTCCTGAAAAAAAAAATTCCATTTTGCTGTCTGTAGGACGAGGCATGTGTTACATTAGACATTATTTTAAAGGAGTGATGTAACTTGTGTACACAAAGAATCCGAAAAAAAAAAGAACTGTCATATATATTATAAAAGAAAAGAACTGTCATATAAAAGAAAAAAAACAACACTTTTTAAGAGACAAAATATTCTATCTATGCCAGTGAACAGCTCCATAACATTGCGTTTGGATTGCAAAGAATGCTTTTTCAAAAGGATAACTATAAGGTAAACTATTTCGGTGGCAGGCAGTCTTTGTTTTAATGTTGTCCTGCAGAAGATTAGGCTGCAAAATATGTCGTACATTCTAATGTATGTAAAGCCACGAACATTCAGTTCCCTGGGATAGGCAATCACATACATAAACAAATACTGTGAAGCATTCTGGCAACAGAACCACAATGGGAATGTGATCTCCCGAAGCTAAGAGCAGGACAAGAGAGTTAGCTTTCATTGTCATATAATTAGTCCATGCAGAGATTTTTTAAATGATACATGATATAAAAAGATCTTTTTATGAGTGGCAGGTCCACAGAGCAAAGTCCGCAAACTATCAAGAGCTGCACATTTCAGAATTGCCTTTAGGTTGATACTAGGGCTGGGTCACGAGCGCGAGAACGGAACTGAATCACCACTCTTTCCTGCAGAACGCGATTCACGATTCACTTCAGTGGAATGCGGAACAGTATCGCCAAATGATTCCCGATTCACTCCCCTGTCGCTGTCACCACCTTGTGGCTTGTTTTAACCTACTGCTGAGTTGAGTCACGAGCGCAAGAACGAAACACTTAGTATGGCTCCCCTTATTTTACAAAAGATGGTATAGTCCAACCCCCCTATTAAAACAAAATGAACGGGGTCCAACCAATAGACAGAAGGAATTTTATGGAGCCATTGTTTTAGCGAATGGTGGGGTTGGGGTGGGGTTGGGGGGGTGAATTTATGGGGGTCACTAATTGAGGTCAGTAGATAGAGCATCGCAACAAAGGGTGTGGGGCGGAGAGGATGGCGGAACAACAAGAGTGGGACTCGCGCTCGCCAAGAGGCGTAGATATAACACTGTTCCGTTTCAGTCAGTGTTCCGCCACAGCTCCATGAGCGCTCGCGTACTCGCGATTCATTGAAGCCGACTGAATCGCGAATTGCCACTCTCAAATTTGACGAGAAGGATCCAGCCCTAGTTGAAACCTCATAGAATTTCCCAGAAAAAAGGCTTCAGGGAACTTTGGAGTTGACCAGCTAAAGAAGTAAACGCTTGACTTCCAGAACAAACACGACTCCTGCATCCACAAACACTTTCTAAACTATAGTCACACTTTTCCATTCTTATAACCATTTAATAAGTGTTCAACCTGAGATTTCACAGCCTACTGCCAAAACAATGGGGGGGGGGGGGGGGGGAATTTCCTTTACTTACTTTTAGCTTTCGGGTACATGATAATGAGATTAGATTCTAGACAAGAGTGATCATGAAGACTAACTGGGTGAAAGGCTGGGGATTGAGCTCTTGATGTAATATACACACGGAAATAGAGAGCAGAGTGCAAGGAGAAGGCAGATTCAACATCCTTCATAAAAATTTCAGTCTGGTATCCTCGGTAAGCAAATTCTTACTCACCCAAGAAAACCCCTTCTTCTAATTTTAAAAGCACCAAAGACATGTGTGGTGTTTGTGCAGGGGGAGAGGGTGTGGTGAAATGCTGTTTTCAAAAGCGAACTAAGAATTCAAAAATTAATGAGTACCAGGTAGATTCCACAGACATTAATTAGAAAAAATCATTATTTTCGGCAGGGGGATAGGAGGATCAAATCTTGTGGCAAATATTTAAGAGATGGGCTGATGATGCTCCTTGTCAAGAGCAGTTTAAGACCTAGAAGCACTTGTCTTCGAAAAATGTATTAATTAAAGACAATTTGAAGAAAAAACAATGTCATTATAATTTAAATCGAGCAGTCATCCTCTCTATTAGTATTTCCCTGTCTTTCTCTGTCTCTCTCCCCTTTTTTCCAGCCTCTGTCTCTCTGTCTCTGTCTCTTTCTCTCTGTACCGCTCGCCTTCTCTTTCTTTTTGTTTGTCTGTCTTTCTTTCTCCCCCACCTACTTTCCCACTCATCTTTCACTTTTCCCTCCTGTCAACTGGGGCATGTGATATTATCTAGCACTTCCCCCTGTTCTGTACCACCTCCCCTCTCTCTCTCTCTCTCTCTCTCCCTCTCCCTCTCTCTCTAAGATTAGAGATTTTACAGGAGAGTAACTGAGTAACAAATACAAAAAAGGGCCCCCCCCAAAAAGAGAGGTATCATGAAAAAAAGTCAACAGATAGGAAGAATGAAAGAGGGAGCAAACCACACAAGAGCACCTCTGCCAAACACCCACCTAAATTTACCAAATCTAACAGTGAAGACTGTTTTATACCTAACCCTAACTAATCATAAAATTTTTTTGATTAATCACCACTGTCTCAGAAAAGTCTAAAAAGATGCATAGACAGCCAAGATATCTCACCAAGTTTTATTAATAAGGACAATTTTTTTCTCATTACAACACAGACAAAGAAGCCTCCTTTTTAACCCTAGAAGCGCTCAGCGTTTCACCGGAAGTAACCTGCCACAAAAATTGCCCCGCCGCCAAGGCTGATCGGTTGTAAACATGGGTGTTTGGCGGGGGGATATGCTGAGATACCTGCTCCTGAAAAATGACCATTAACAGCTCAACAGATGAAAAAAGGAATATAAAACCTTATCTTACGGGAGGAGCTACCCTGGAGGACTATTTTCTATGTTTGTTGCCCAAGATCAAATCTAAAGTACCTACACATATAAGTTAGGCATAGTAAAATCTCATGATATGCAATTTTATTTTGGCATAGATACAGCAGTTGCTATGGAAATGGCCGCAATCTTGAAAATAAACAATGAATTTCAAATTCCTAAGGCTTTCTTATTTACAGACCAAATTCAGACCCTATCGGAGTAACAGCAAGTTTTTTTCAATATTTGCAAAAAAGAAAAAAAAAGTATGAGAATTTTCCCAAAGTATAAAATTTAGGTTGCGTAATCGCTTGCCAATGGATAAGTGTTATTGTTTTCACAAATATCTCTCTGTTACATTTCTGGCAGCCTTTCCATTCCAGAAAGTTTCATGTCAAAAGGGCAAAAACTAAGGAAGGAAAAAAAGGAAAAAACTGCAACAAAATTACATTTTGCAAAAGACGACAATTATTGTGAAATATCACTCTATATTAACTCATCCTCATGTTTTCAAAGGCAATTTACGAATAGACTTTCTCAATTGTATCCATGCTATATTTTGACAAAAAAAACAGGTTGATCTTCAAAAATCAGCCAATGTAAAATTTGCATAGCCTGACCCAAAATCTGCAAAATCAAGGGTCGCTCCTCCCCTTAAAGCTGATAGAATGAGCCATTCAAAAAAGTGATCAAATAAATACGTCTCATGGAATTCAAAACAACTCGCAAAACGCTAATATTAACTCAACAATAACAATAGTACATTAGCACAGCGGAACAAGTGATAGCGCATAGCGTGTTATCGCTCAGCTGGACCGCGTCACTTTATTCATTGATATCTTGGCAATGAGACGCTCTACGAGGTCATCAAGATAACTTGCAAAGTCATTGGTCACTATTTATAACGTTGACCTGTAATTTACAACATCATTTTCCAAGGAATACTGAAATTTTCCATTTAAAAAGGTCGGCGTCTATGCCCTTTATATAGGGCCTGCATGCTTCCCGGTCGAAGTAGGTCAGCCCTCCTGCACCATTCCAAGGTAGCCCGGCTGACACCCTTATTAAGGCCTGCCCGCTTCCAAGGTTTACTTACTTACGTAAGCTACTGATTGACCTGGCCAGTGGAATGAACTACAAATTGATATTACTTTTTATTAGATTTAAAAAATGGCAAATAACACCTAACCAGTGTAGGGCAGAAGTTAGTTTTGTAACTTAGTTGGGACTTAGTCTACTACAGTCTACAGACTACAGTAGCGTAGCAAATAACATGCTATGACAATATTGACAAGGAAGTGGCTATTCTCACCCCGGGAAAGAATAAAAATACGATCGACCTCTCACCCTGGGTGAGACTGCCAGCATTGGTCTCACCTGGTGTTAAACAATACCTGCTTTTAATTTCCTAATTTCTGAATACTTGTGGATGATCAAATTTACAAAAACAAAGAAAAAAATGATGTTACAGTACAAAATTTAAGTTAAACTAGAAATTGGTCATCTACAAAGATGCTATGGCTTTTTCACTTTTTTCGAAATGAGCCGAACTACGCGGGTCGCCATTTTGTTTTGCTCGGAAGTTCTTACTAGATCTACTCCTTCTCTCACTTCTCTCTTTCTGAACACTGTCTAGATTATACTAGATATCTAGATATCAGTGTGGACGATCAAATTGACAAAAACAATGAAAAAAAAATGATATCATAGCACAAAAGTAAATTAATTTGGTCATCTACAAAGATGCTGAACAGCTATTTCACTTTTTGAACCGAGCCGAACTACACCGGCCGCCATTTTGTTTTGCCCGGAAGTTTTTGCGCTACTCCTCTCTCTCTCTCCCCCCCCCCCCATCTCTCTCTCTCTGCTCTCTCTTTCTCTCTCACTGCCCACAGACAAAATTACATGCTTTCAACACAAAAGTGCTGGAACCTTCGTTCTCGGTGAACGCTACACTGGTTGGCCTATCACGGTGAATGCGCACCGGATGAGAATAGCCAAAAGGCTCGCCTGCACTATTCTCACCCAGGGTGAGAATAGAGAGGTGGCCTCACCTATTATTCATTGACAAGCCTGGTTAGATCTACACTTTCACAAGAAGCTCTTCTGAATCAATGACCAAGATTGCTGTGGAATAATAACCATACTGTACTACTAAGTAACTATTTCTGTTCTGATTCCTGAGTGTGGTACTGAGTCTTGGATCTTGCACACATCTGTCGTGTGTCCTATCCTAAACTTAACAACTAGAGAATTTTACTCTAAATACAGATCTACCACCAGTTGATCGAGAATTTGTTTGACAAATACATTATTCTTAGAATGAGTATCTTTATAAAAATGTGTTGTGAAGCCAAAACATTCAAATAACCAGAAGAAAATATGTATCGAGACCAAGACATAAACAAAGGTAACGCCCACCTTCAGTTGTCCCCTCTTCCAAAATTGCTCTCAGAGCCACTCACCTTCTGCAATTACTTCATCAACAACAACAGAAAAGCGGCCGATTTGAAAAGTCTTCCCAATGTGAGGACTTTGTTGATTTGAACTAAATAACTTTTTCATTTTGCAATGCGTTGACCATCCGGTCTAAAAGTCAAAATCTATCCATTTTTGTGAAGCAGTATTACTCATTGTCGGTACAATTCTACAGTAAGAAAGTGTCCACTTCCTGTTTAGGTTATGACCACTTCCGCTATCAATCAAATGTGAATACAGAAAGTTTCGCATTCAACTTAAATACTTTAAAATTTTGTGCTTTGAATGACTTCAAAGTGAATCTTATGCTTGGTTCCCATTTTGAACTTATTTTAATCAAAACTGGAGATTCTATAAGCAAAGCTCATTCTCTCTATCTCTGCAACAGGGAAAAAGCGGAAGAGAGACCTGGAGAGACACAATTTACTAAAATTTTGGACGAAAATTTTGCCAACCAAACAAAACGGAACAGGAAAAGAAGAAAACGAAAGTTCCAAATTTCGTGCCGAATCCGACCGAAGGATTCTGACAAAATGTTGAAAATGCATGTTCGAGACAAGATGTCAACGTTTTCTTGGTTTCTTATTTTGGCTGGAGTGTGTACAACGACCTCCTCCTGTTTGACTGACGAGGGATCTTTAGATGATGGGGGATGGTAATTCCACTTTTCTTATTAGTCTAGATCTAGATTCTAGATTTTTATAGATCTATATTCTATATCTAGATCACGACTCACGGCAGTCACGGACCGTTTTAGCAATCCAGATCTAGATTCTAGATCTAGTCTAGATCTACCAGCTGTTGCCTGTCCTCTGTAGTGTAGCTGTCTGAAGTGAAGGCCTACCAGCCAGCCAGAGTCAGTTCATTGCTTCATTGCCCTTTTTTCTGCAATGGGGCTCCACGGAGTGAAGCTGTGGCAATTGACACTGGTGTCAATTGCCATCTAGTGAAGCGGTGTCAAGTCTGAAAACAACACCTTAGATCTAGTAGTATTCTAGTCTGTCTAGTCTAGATCTAGACTCTAGATCTATCTTTAGCTTTCTATTATAATGTGTTATGAACACATGAAAAAGCTAGAGTCTAGATCTAGAATCTAGATCTAACCCCCTCTCATAAGTTGAAAGTCATAACGAGTAGTTCTTATCACAGCTCAATCCCAGAGTGCAGTCTGATTCTGATCTATTCTATTTAGGCTATTGCTATTGTTAGGGGACCGTACGCCCCAATAGCGCTTGGCGCTAGGGGACTGTACGGCCCCATAATGTTTGGCGCTAGGGGACCGTACGTCCTACCTGCGCTGAGGCGTGGTGTTATGGGGCTGTACGCAGATATGCATGCATCTGGACTTTGCAAAAATACTGGAGGAAAACGGCCAGTTTAACGCCGAAGTGTATACAGACCCGGTAACCTGGAACAAAGTCACGAAGTATACAGGCCCGGTAGGGGAACTCTTTTGCGATTTCGGAAAGTTTCAGCACCCAGACCCGGTAGTGTGTGTGTGTGTGTGTGTGTGTGTGTGTGTGTGTGTGTGTGTGTGTGTGTGAGTGAGTGAGTGAGAGAGAGAGAGAGAGAGGAGAGAGCAGAGGGAAGTGCTAGCAAAATGTATGACACAGTTGGCAGGAGGGAACGAGAGAAAGATAGAGTGGGAAATACGAGGGGAGAAAGAAAGACAGAGACAAACAAAAAAAAGAGAATGCGAGCGATACACAGAGACAGAAGAAGGAGAGGGAGAGAGAGAGGGGGGGGGGGGGGGGGTGACTGCTCGATTTAAATTATGACATTGTTCTTTTCTTCAAATTGTGATTCCTCCAACTCCAAAACGGGGGAAAAACGATCGTTCATCGAAAAGACATCCGCAATCTTCATGATTTAGATTTAGATCTAGATTCTAGGTCTCTAGATTCTAGATCTAGATATAGGCTAGCCTCGAAACTAGATCAATGATTTATATCTGTCGGTCTAGATCTAGACCTAGGCCATAGATCTAGAAGAACCTAGTTTTACCCTGAGCCAAGAGGGCGCTGGAACTCTCCGAAATCACAAAAGAGTTCCCCTACCGGGTCTGTATACATTGTGACTTTGTTCCCGGTTACCGGGTCTGTATACACTCCCGTTTAACGAAGCTCCTGACGTAAGGAGTTATTACTAGGAGAATGTTTAAAATGTCTGAATACATTCTCCCTAGTAATAACTCCTTACGTCTGGAGCTTCATTAAACTGGCCGTTTTCCTCCTGTATTTTTGCAAAGTCCAGATGCATGCAGTATAATATATTCATCTACGTACAGTTCTGTAACACCACGCCTAAGCGCAGGTAGGACGTACGGTCCCCTAGCGCCAAACACTATGGGGGCGTACGGTCCCCTCCTAGTAGGGGCGGGCACGAGACGAGCCGAGTACCCGTTTCTCGCGGGTAACGGCCTTCCCGTCACTTCCCGGGCACTAAACTACTGCTCAGTACCGAGACATGATATTGCTCGTTGGCTTGACACAACGAGTAACAGTAACGAGAGTGAGAGAGTGAGAGGCGAGAAATGACAACGCAGACAGTGCCACCCATCACCGTGCCGTCCTGTGTGTGAAACTGAAAGGGAGAGGAGAGGTTGGCGAGACGAGGCGAGTGGGGAGTTGATCAGGGCCTAGGCCTAGGTCTCCCTACCTTCCTTCACCGCCTGCGCCTGCGCAACAGGGCAAGCCTAGTTTCTAAGTTTAGATCCCCGCCACGATCGGTCTTCTCGCTAAACGAGCTGCTCGTTCTGTGGGGCGAGAAGAGAAATCTCGGCCACGGCCGGTCTTCTCGCTGAACGGGTGGCTCGAACTGCGGGGCGAGAAGAGAAATTGGTCACGAGACGAGAAGTATTTCTCGAGACACGAGACGGGAAATATTTCCCGTTCTCGGGACCGGTCCTGGCGAGAAGAAGGTCAGCTTCTCGGTCTTCTCGCTCGGGAAGGAAAAAGCGCTTCCCGCCCGTCTCTACCTCCTAGCGCCAAGTGCTATTGGGGCGTACGGTCCCCTAATATCAGCCTTCTATTTATAAAGGAAGTGGATATTTATACGGCAGGCCGTCGAAAAATCGGAAGTGATAATTCCACGGCACATAAATTCAGCCAATCAGGACATCCGGACTATTTATAATTAAGCCTATTTTCTTTTCCATAAGTAACGCATTATAGATACAATTTAATGATACATGTATTATGTATGTTTAGTTAACAATGTTTGTCCTTTGCTATCATTTTGTGCATTATGGACAATGATGAAATGTTTTGTGTCACTGTAACGAGAGTGAGAGATGCACAATTTATTTTGTGCAAGCAAAATGGAGAGAAGACTGGTTTGGGTTTTTTTGCCAACAGTAGGGTGCCCATTTGCGGATGGGATCTGGTCGGGTAGGGATGATCACCCGACTCGTCGCCTGGAAAACAAACACAATTCTTGCATTGATACACTTCAAACAGAGCCTATACCGTCGAAATATCAATTCAGATATTTCGACTCAAGACGGCATACCATATAGGTTCACTTCCGATGTTCAGACAGCACAGCATGCCGTGGAAATATCAACTACGATCTTCAGACGGCATGCCGTGGAAATATCGCTACCCATTTATAAATCATAATGGCCACCTGTCCAAGACAATCAGCTGTGTCATTATTCGGACAGTGTCTACGTACATGGTAACCGGGCACCTAGTGTCAGTATCTACGTACACGGTAACCGGGCACCTAGTCTCACCTTGACTCAGTATCTACGTACATGGTAACCGGGCACCTAGTCTCAGTATCTACGTACACGGTAACCAGAATGAAAATTAATCATATATATATTTGTCCTCTGTGCTGTCTCTTGCTGAAAAAAAGAAAGTTCATACAAGTGTCTTGTTGGGCTTGCGATCGTGACTAGTCAGTGAACCTGCGCGAGTGCATCACATTGTCATTGTGAGTACCGGTTGGGGTCACAGAAATTCATTTTAAGTCTGTGCGCTGCGAAGTATAATATAGGGCTCCGGAATGGGGGGGATTATTGATTTTTTTTTTTTAAAGTAGGCCTACAGTCGGGGGAGGGGTGGGGATGAAGGCAACACTGGATGACAAAACCTGAACTTGGAGTTCTGAACTGCCCTGTTACCGTGTACGTGACACAGGGACTACGTGCCTGGTTGCCAGTTACCGTGTACGTAGATGAGGCTACATGCCCGGTTACCGTGTACATGACACTGAGACTACGTGCCCGGTTGCCGGTTACTGTGTACGTAGACACTGAGGCTAGGCGCCGGGTTACCGTATACGTAGAGACACTTCGTTTCGGATAGGGGGTGTGTGATTAATCAGATTATTATTCGGACCACCCTTCTTTCCAGTCCCGTATCAGTCTGGCCCTCCTACCTCAGCACCATCATCCTTGTGATGACTGCGTGTGTGTGTGTGTCAGTCTGCTTGAGTTTGTGTGCGTTTGTGGCCTACTTGTAGAACCGCCTGCGTTGATTCGTAAACGAGGCGTGCGTCTCATGGAATTCAAAACATTCCAAGTTGGTAGCTCTAGATGTCTGTCTAATTAAATTATAGCAAATTGACCCACTTAGACATGAGGAGCTCAGAAGACTCGCATCTCGGCACAGACGCAGAACAAGTTTTGACTTTTTTTTAGTTTGTTTTGTATGCTGAACACAAATTTGACTCCATTTCATAGCCTACAAAACGTTCACGGTGTAGTCACTGTGTTTTTAAAAACATTAAAACTAAAACCAACTCGCCAATTATGCCTCTTCACCCCGGTTGAGAATACAAATGCAGCCAGTGGCGGTGGGTAGTGAAGGGCTCACGGGCTTGAGCCCCCCTCCCTACCCCCCAACTCTATCGCAAAGCAAATGAAAATAACGAAATTATAAGCAGGTGAAATTGTAGTTATGATCACTCTGTGAACACAGGGTATTCAAGTTGGTGGCTTCCTCGTTTCTCCAATCACTATTGTCACGGCTTACAACTATTACCATAGTAACCTAACTGCTAATCAAATGTCTTAAGGGCTCAGCAAAGGACGAGCCCGTTCCCCGGCCCCCACTTAATGAAACCCCTCTTGTAAAGAGGTAGAAGACTTGAAAAAATGACACTGCACAGAGAGCTCACGCTCTCCTAGCCCTGACAATGGAGTGAAAGTTGACGACACACTTTCCCTCAATGACACAGTTACCTGTGCACCCATTGGACCTTTGTTAGGTGCGTTCTACTTTCTGAGGCTACACGGCCTAATCCAGCTCATGCACTGTATGTTTGGAGTGCTGTGTGTGCCGCTGAGATTTAACAGTTATTTATTACATTTCATTACTTCAAACCGCTTTTGAGGCTACTTTTTCACCAGATGAAAATCAATAAGAAAAATTTGGAGATAAAACGGTTTTGTCCCCACCATCCAGAAGAATTTAACGTTGAACAAAAAGATGGAGGACAGAAGTGATTCTTCTCCTTTGAATGATTCTCAAAATTCTGTGGCTCGCTGTGAGTAGATAGAAAAATCATCACTGTTTTGTTCTTATTGCTTGCTATTTGGTGGTAAAGAAGTGGAAGCAACCTAAGCCCCACCCAAATTTTGCAGCCCATTTTAATATGTTCCTGTTTAAGTGTTCTACAGCATTCACATGTGTTGCGCATCATAGGCCATTACATGCCGTCATCCAAACATCAGTCAGAAACCTTCTCTCAAAAATGCATATATATCGAGGGACCAATCAAAAAACATTTCGAAGCATCCTTTCAGTTGGAGTGACTGCATGTGCGTTTGTACATGATCTAAATTATATTTTTTTTAAAAATCAGATGACGAATGCATGTGTTTGAGTGGAGCGTACTTTTGTATGGCAAGCGTTTAGGCGGAGACTAATGTAATACACATCTATATAGAAAGATGTTATTTATTGAATCATAATCATTATTGTTGCCGGTGCATCTCAATTTATGTCTAGTCAACCAAGATGAGACTACTAGATGAGGAAAACAAATATCACAGGAGAAGAAAGCATGAGACTGATACCTTGGTAATGGGTTATCTATGTACTTTAATAAAAGTGATCCCATTTATTTATTTATTACAGTGAATGTAAATATGATACCCAACTATAGCAGGGTTTGGCAATACCAGGGACATCACGTCGGTCCTGACTGTTCTGTTATAGCGGATAGCGGGGGCGAACTGTAATTCTATTATGGCACATTAATTTTTTAATTAAAACATCATGGGATAGGCATAAAGCAGGTGATTGCAAAAATTTTGTTGTGGGCTTGAGTGATTTCAATATGAATTAGAGATAAAATCAAATGTTATTTATTTTTTACATAAGAAGAAAATGCTTTGGGCTTGTTTGTTTTTTTTGTTTTTTTTTGGGGGGGGGGTATTTATAGATACACAGTTTAATATGTCACAATAATATGAAACTTAGGCATCATGTACACACTTGAAATTATTGCCATATATATGAAAGTGCACCCGATAAATCTTTCCATTGTTATGTACACTTATTAAAATGACCCTCACAAGAATTTATTAGCTTTTTTTTTCTACAATCTTTCTCTTTACCTTTAGCAAATGGGACAAAACTCAGAGTTGTTAAGAGTTAAAGTCATTTTCAGTCATTAGTTCTGGGTGGACTACCTCCTAATTGTGAATGAGGTTTCATTGTTTTGAATTATCAATACCTTATTTTTTCATGTTTAATTGTTATTGCAGGTCTACATCAAAGAAAGATATGCTTGCTGTTCCTGGTCCATGTGATATTGAAGTGAGAGATGCGAAAGGACTTTCTCAGCAAGAGTTTCTGAATAGGTTTTTATTACTATTACATTGTATTTGTTAATGCATTCAATGCGTATCCATATTATTTCTTAGGGAGGTGGGGGTGGGGTGGGGGGTGGGGGGTCTATCAAGCTTCTGACATTTTGAACAGAAACAAACCTTCTGCATATTCTGGTTTTACCTTTCTGTCTCTTTCTGTCTGATCTGCACTTCTTATTTCATTCGAGTGGGATAGCTACATGACACATATCAACTATGTTTGGTTTTATTTATTTGGGTCTTTTTCTCATAGCACTTGGCATACGTGTAAGGCTGAGTGTTTCTGCATAGCCATGTTGTCCTTGTTACATAGTGTACAGTTATTTGGCAGTAAAAAAGATTTTGATATATTGTGTAATTGAGTCTGTTTTAGAATAGTCAACTTAGCTTTTTCATGCACTTTTTCGTACCACCGAAATTGTCAACGTCATTCCACAATCGACCAAATCAATTTCGAGGGTTTTCTCAACTAAGCCATTTTTGAACAAAGACATCAAAGGGCATCCTACTATACATGTACAGTAGAAACCTGATATAACAGGGATGGTGGGACCAGAGAAAAAGTCCTGTTAAATCAGAAATGCAAGGGAAGTAAGCATTTGTGGACTAACCCAGCTGTATTTATTCATGGGTAGTTTCCCTTGCGACAAGCAACACATTACACGTGGGTGTAGCTAGGCTAAGGGCTAGATGACTGAAGTCTGCAGCACACCACATCTCTCTCTTGTTTCACCCGATGCGTGTGCTTGCAGCAGTAGCGTGGCTTTCGTGGGCTTGTTCAACCACTGCGTTCCTCTCTCTCTCTCTCTCTCTCTCTCTCTCTCTCTCTCTCTCTTTCTCTCTCTCTCTCTCTCTCTCTCTCTCTCTCTCTCTCTCTCTCTCTCTCTCTCTCTCTCTCTCTCTCTCTCTCTCTCTCTCTCTCTCTCTCTCTCTCTCTCTTGCTCTTCTTTGTCCCTGCTATAACCGGTTGGGCTCCGATGATGTCCTGTTATTGCGGATAATTTTTTATAGAGGCATAGAGTAGGAAAAAACGGAGATTCTAAAAATCCCTGTTTTTACCGGTTCCCTATTATTCCCGGGCCTGTTATATATGGTTTCCACTGTAGTTACGTTCTGTTACGTTATTTCCTGTCTGGTTTATAATTGACACTCTTGCAAACATACACGGATAGAGATACATAAACGATTGTGTTTTGAAATTGTTAGTTTGCATGAAAAAAGTAGGATATGTAGCTTAATTTTTAACCCTGCATAGCATTTTTATAACTGAAATTAAGGTGAATTGGTGTTTCAAATTTGTTTAAAGTGCAGGTTATGTGTAGTACTGAAAGCTGAAAGCTGAAAGCTAAAGGAATTAAAAATAATTGAAATGTCTATTTCAGATATGCTTATGATCTGCCTGTCGTTATACGAGGAGCAACTGACAATACTGTAAGTTTACCGAATGTGGTCGTCAACTAAGGAGGACTGAATGCAAGAGTCAGTCTGTTTAAAATAATAAGTACTCAAGTCATGGTTATGATTTCTCTACTCTCTTAGATGTGGTTTTTTTTGTAGCTTTTTTTTTTTTGGGGGGGGGGGAACATCATTTGATTTCATGTATGTTGTCTGACATTTTGACAGAACTATAATATTGTGATTATGCTTATGTTGGTTCCCACTTATCTAAAGATGTATGCGTCAGTGTTTATTCTTTGTCACCCATCATTCTCATTGGTACTTATGCTTTTAAAAAAATAATTGAAAATATAATTACCATCAATATATAGTTTTAGGTGACATCTGTCAACAGTGCAACAATGTATGAGTAATACATTTGCATTGTCATAAGTCAGTTATATTGTTCAGAATGTGTTTTATGGTCAGTGTATGACGCATAGGCATTACTCGTGCGAATCATAACTGTTTGTTTCCTGTTTAATTGTTTTTCTCAATGGCTTTTCAAAATTTGAATGTCTTTCTATTTTCAACCCATTATGATCTGATTGTGATGTTGAAGGACACTGATGGATCAGCCTTCAAGGGAACTGTTAATGTGGGCTTTGGAGTAAGAACAGAACATCCTGACAAGACATGTGAAAAACTATTTGATCCTTGTGGTACTTCTTGTACAAATTATGAGGCTGAGGCCATCGCCATTGAAGCAGCAATCCTCCACCTAACCAACATTTTCATTATATAACCAGACAAAATCAAGGATACTGTAATCTTCACGGACAGAAAGTCAGTACTCCAAGCTTTGGAAAACATGAATTTTGAAAGCCCAGCTTGCCTCTCTGTGGCTAAAAAATTAACACCTTCATGCAGACCATCAACCTGAATTTACAGTGGATACCTGGCCACAGCAACATCCCAGGAAACGACAGAGCAGACACCTTGCCAAGAAGGGAGCATCACAAACACAACCTCAAAACCCAGTGTCACAACAGACAGTCAAGAACATCGTCAAATGTCAATCAAATGCAATACCAGGGAACAGTGGCTGAATGGATGGGCATTGGGCAAAACTGGAAGAGCTGTATTTGCACACATGACTGCTCCCAACTCAAAAGACTGAATTTCCTCAGTAGAAGAGAACAAGTCACTATCTTTCGCCTGCGAACACAACAACACAACACATCCTACTGAATTCGTACCTAGATAGGATCTGCAAGGATACCCCTCCTAACTGCCCCTTGTGTGACTGTCAGGATGAAACAGTATCACACCACCTCTATACCTGCCCTGCACTTACCAACCTGCGTAGCACCTACTTACCCCCCCTGATATGGGAAATACTTTATACAGCGACAAAAGACAGCTGATAAAAAGCTGTAAATTCTTTGCCATATTGACAGGCCGAAGGTCTGGAACCAGATGGCAGCTGAATCGGAAAAGTAAAGTGAAAGTTAAAGTAAAGTGATGTTGAAGGTAAGCTAATAAGTTCGTATTTTTGTGACATTTCAGGTTTTTCAAGACCAATGCAGAAAGGAAAACATGATGAAAGACTATGCTTCCAAACGAATTAAACTGAGTTCTGCGAATACTCATTCATATGAAAAAGGTATTAAAAACCAACCGTGTAATATTTACTTACACCAGCAAAAAATATGTTATTAATGTACTGTCAAATCAGTGTAAGATGGCCACCCATTGTCAAGGAGAAAAGTGGCCGTATAAGACAGGTGGCCGTCTTAGGCAGGACTGATCAAGGTGAAGAAAACAAACCATTCCCATCTGAGGTCCCAATCGAAAGTAGCTGCATTGTTGTTTTTGTTGTTGTTGTTTGTATTTTGTTTATTATTTTTATTTCGTTGTTGATTTTTTGCGCAAGAGTGATGATAAAACGAAATGTATCAGACGAGGAAGACCGAGTACCATGTTAAAACAAACACATGGGTTGCCACCACTCAGGAGAGAACGAGCGAGGCTTCTGTCACAAGTTCATGTTGACGTCCATTGTTTCTTTGTTACAGACTGGGTAAACAGTGACCAC